CTGAAAGGGACTTATCAATAGACCCATGTAATCATAATGTCATTACTTTGTTTTCACTGGATGACACAGTCTTCGCAGTATCATTTGCTCTTGGCAGACCATATATCATAATTCTCCTCCCGTTAGTAATTTCTTCACTGCAGGAAAAACTCTGGAAACCATCTTGAGAAATGGTGAAAAGCATTTCCTATTCCTTTAAAATTGCTTTTTTATGCACTTACTGTGAAGAGTTACAAACAAAAACTTGTATTGGCCAACCATGGAGGATTGGGGCAGTATAAATGTCTATCATAAGAAAAATCTAGCTGCATAATTTAACAAGGTGTTTAGGTAGGTCCAGAACCATAATATAAACACCCAAGTCATCCTTCAAACTTGGCACTTGGCACTCAAAGTGTAACTCAGAGACTTTTTTTTTTACTCTTATTCTGCCATACATTTTGTTGTGAAATTTCTTCATAATTTATTCATTTATTAACAATTCATTTCCTTAAGGTGGGAGTTAAGAAGTAGGTACACTATAGAAAAAGCATATTGTGAGTTTAAGAGACTTTTTTTTTTTTAAGACTTTTTATTTATTTATTTGACACAGAGAGAGAGAGAGAGAGTGAGAACGAGCACAAGCAGGGGGAGCGGCAGGCAGAGGGAGAGAGAGAAGCAGGCTCCCTGCTGAGCAGGGAGCCCGATGTGGGGCTTGATCCCAGGACGCTGGGATCATGACCTGAGCCGAAGGCAGCCGCTTAACTGACTGAGCCACCCAGGCGCCCCATATTGTGAGTTTATTGAGACATGTTTTTAAAATCTCTCTTTATAACTTTGCATTCAACTTGGAAAAATAAGGATCTTGCAGCAACTCTTGCCATAGGCTGAGCAATCATTCTCCAAGTGTCCTGAATAATGGGTTGGCGACAAGATGGAGGAAGGTTCTAGAGGTGTGGCAGAAAGCTCTGTCCTTGCCCTGCATGATAGTAACATCTCAGGAGCAGACACAATGGTCAGGCTCATTGAATTAAAATAAAGCAGCCTCTCTGTCTGGAAAGAAGGACTCAGAACTCAGAAAAATGGACTCTGGACTCAGAAAAAATCAGTTTGAATTCTGGCTCCCCACTTATTATCAGTGTGATTTGGGGCTAAACACTTAGAGTCTATGAGTTTCAATTTCCCTATCTGTAAAATCATGTTCAACGATATAGCTATATCTAGATAGAGAGCTAGATATCAGGTACACAGAAAATGCTCAAAAAGAGTACTTATCAAATCTGCAGATGGTCCAGAGCTGGGGAGAGAGATGCCATGTCATAGAATTAAGGTTCAAAATTACCGTGACAGAAAGATGAGCTAAGATGGTAATAAATATTATAGAAGGAATAAAAATAAAATCCCATAGTTAAAGGTTTTTTGTTTGTTTGTCGGTTGGTTGGTTTTAAGTTCAGTGTACCAGTGTAGAATGGAGACATCCTGGCTTAATAGCAAGCTGATGTGAAAAACTTTCTGAACGCCTGAATGACAGAGAATGTACTATGGAGACAATAGCAAGACATGGATACTGAATTATTAGGTGTAATCTCCTACTACAGAAGCCTATGTTGTCTATAAATCAAGGAAATGAACTAGCCTAATACATTTTGCCATGGCCATATCCCATCTGGAGCACTGTGTTCAGTTCTGGGTACTGTATTTTTGAAAGGATATTTATAAAATATAGTATAACCTGAAAAGGAAATCAGAAGGGTGAAAGGCTTACATATAAGAAAGCTAAAGAAGCTAGGAACGATGATAAGGCTAAAAAAGAGAATTTTAAGGAGAATGTGATAATTGCCCTCAAACATATAAAAGGCAGTAAAAATCAAAGAGTAAGAGTAATTAATATGTATTGAGTACTTATTATATGCAAAGTAGTCACTGTTATCCACCCTTGCAGGTGAGAAAGCTAGGGCACAAGGGCCCAGCTATATGCTTACAGTCACATAATTTGGGCGGGTGGAGCCAGGTCTCACCGCCACAAAGCGAGGAGGGATATTAAAGCTATACTCCATATATTTGTAACCTCTGTCTTACAGGATCACGGTAAGATTGCACCCTCCCCATTCTTTTGAAGTTGGACACGGATTAATGAGTTGCTCGGGCTGGGGAAATGTGAACCTAAGTCATTTTTGCGACTTCAGCGTGGGAGTGCAAGAGTCCGTGAGCAACTCACTACAGGTTCTCACCAACATGGGTGGGTCAAGAGGAAACTTCCCTCAGGCTATCCGTCTAGGTCCCTGCAGGGAAATGATTAACAGAGATGTCCTGCTGACCCCTGTTGGACGTAGCAGGAGCAAGAAATAAAACTGTTGGGCGCCTGGGTGGCTCAGTCGTTAAGCGTCTGCCTTCGGCTCGGGTCATGATCCCGGGGTCCCGGAATCGAGCCCCACATCGGGCTCCCTGCTCCGCGGGAAGCCTGCTTCTCCCTCTCCCACTCCCCTTGCTTGTGTTCCTGCTCTCGCTGTGTCTCTCTCTGTCAAATAAATAAAATCTTAAAAAAATAAAATTAAAAATTAAAAAATTAAAAAATAAACTGTTGCTTGATTCAGCCATGAGATGTGGGGACTGCTTGTTACTGTGGCAGTACCCAGGCTTTTCTGACAGCTAAATAAATCCACATGCTTCAAGTCATTAAAATATCTCAGAATTTAAAAAAAAACTTTATTCTTGTATTTTAAAAGGTCAGAACTAAGAATAGCTTATAGAAACTACAAGGAGGCAGAACTGGGCTTAATTTAATTTTTTTAAAGTGAAGTTTTCCAAAAGTTGCCTCATGAGGTGGAGCACTCCCTGAAAACGTGGTATTTAAATAGAGGCCAAAAGGCTGGCTAGGTCAGTAAGAGCATGCGACCCTCGATCTCAAGGGTCGTCAGTTCAAGCCCCACGATGGGCCTAGGGTTTACTTTAAGAAATTAAAAAATTAAAACATATATACATATAAAATAAGTAGAGGTCAGATGGTCATTGTGCATCTATGTACCAAAAAATATGGCTTAATTAAGGAGTTTTAATGTACCAAACATTTATGGAGCACCTCCAATGTGCCAGGCATTTCAGCCACCATGATAAATCCAAATGCACAATCCCTATCCTCAAGGAAATAGCTATCACGTACAGAAGTAGATAAGGTCTGCTGATTCTTTTAGCAGTGTGATTCAACCAAATTAGAGATAATAACATGGCCTGCATGAAGCTGACAGCAAGCCTGAACTTAGAAATAACCACGCAGCACAAGAAATCCTGCTGATGCTTAAGTTGTATTATTATTTTTCAATTAGGAGCCAAAAGCATAGGGTTTGCAAAAGGAAGGAAAACGCGACAATTTCTGGGTTTACAGGAGGAACATTTTCCCTTTCTCTCGTTACCATTCTTAAATCTTGCAAACCAGGCATATTATCTGGCTTACATCAGGGGTGTTCCAGCAAAGGGAATAGCACTGACTCAACAGCAATTGTTACCGACCTTTTCCATCCCTTCTCCCACCCCTGAGAGTCAGGAAGGGAACATTTCAATCCCCATCAGCTCAGACCTAAAGAGAGGCAATAATCTTCCTGTAACACTGTTCTTAAGTTTAGAAATCAGCCACAGCTGTTCCAAAAATATCAGAAGTTTTTCCTAAAAGTGTTATACAAGCAAGGCCTAGAGGAATCCCATATTCTAAGGACGATATGAAAATCACAAACTAAATGAGTGATTGCAAGGGACATGGACATTGTTTCCCAATGGCACCCTTACACAGGACGAAGTTCCGTGATTTCTTTCCCTAACAGTATCACTAATTAAAGCCTTGTTTTTTCAAACTTTCAAAATCAAGCAGTGCAGAGATAGGCTTTCCTTTGACTGGCTCGCTGCATTTGAATAGGAAAAACATCTATAACTCGGGTAAGCATTAACTGTAATTGCTCTGGGGCAGACATTTCCATTTTGGGTTATTATTCGTATCTGTATTTACACAGAATAATATATGTGGATGGATTTTGCAGCCATTATCTACACAAGAGTGACGTATCTGATTACTATTGTTCCCCAACTCAACAGCATCAGTTTGAACTTTGAATACTCCGGCCCTGCCCAGACCCTGAATTTTCTGAACTATGGTTCTGATTTTCTATGAAATAAACAAATAGATGAGAGCAAGCTGGATTTCAATGCCATACCTCCAGTCAGTTCAGTGCATGAGTTTCTCAGAAATACACATACAGAAGAAATTGGCTTTGGCACATGTAGGAGCAGCAGAGAATTTGCAGCTTGTACTAGTTTAAAGTGCACCCTTAATACTCCGGCCTGTTTTCAAAAATAAGATATTCTTCCAGAGACAGCTGGATCCCTGTGGTACCCAGTCTTGCAATAAACTACGTGCACAAACGTACACCTCACAAACACAGATGTGAAATGTCGATCTAGGACAGAAGAGAAGCACTCAGATTAGGGTGTTTAGTCTAGTGGCTCCACACCCAAAAGTTTCAGGGACAGAGCTGATGTTTGAAGAGTGAGAGGGGAGACCGCCCATCCTGTACGTTCATCCGGGGACTATGGAGATGACCCCATTTCCCAGCACTAGTTTGCCCTCTGCCCTGGTGACCCGGGTTGAGATTTAATCTAGGGCCAGAGTGGGGCCCAGACAATTGTGCTGGCGGTTACTTAGACGCAGAGAAGGGCTAGAAATCACTAGGCGTCCGCCGCTGGCCGCGCTGACACACCCACCCAGACCTGCTGGCCCGGGGGTGCGGCAGGGAGGCCGGGGGGACCCGCGCACCCCGGTCCCGCGCGCACCAGGATGCTGCCACGGGGGGACCCGCGCGAATCCCGGTCCGGGCTGAGAGGTCGCGCGGTACGCTCGGCAGAGGATGCCCTTTTCCTCCTCCCTGTCCCCCGTCCCCGAGCGAAGGGAGCGGGAGAAAGTTGTGCCCGGGTCGCGGGGCCCCGGGCCGCCAAGGGAACGAGAGCAGGAGGAGAAGAGCCCCGGGCCCCCTTACCTTGTCCTTGGGGCCGAGGTTCTGCAAAACCTCCTTGCCCGTGGCGCTCCGGATCTCCACCCCGGCGGGTGCGGGCGAGGCGGGCGAGGCGGGCGCGGGCTCCCTGCCCTCCTCCCGGCCTTGGCCCCGGCGTGGGCTGTCCCCCTCGACCCCCGGCCGGCTCCCCGAGCCGCGGCCGCTGCCCTGGCCGCTCCGGGGAGTCTTCGCGCCCCGCTGCCCCACGCTCAGGGCATCGAAATCCAGCGTCTTGCTCTCGAAGGCGCCCTCCACGTTGCAGAACATGCCGCCGTACTTCTGCCGCGGGACCTGGTCCGTGGTGCCCGGCCTGGCCAGGTACACGGGCAGATCGTCCTCGTGGGAGCTGTCCCAGCCCCTCCGGCCCGAAGCCATGGTGCCCGCGCACAGCGGCCCGCGGGTTCGCTCCCCCAGAGGCGGAAAGGGCAGCCGCCGGCAGCGTGCGCCGAGCCACAGTGACTGGGGCGGGAGGAGGCGCCTGAGCGTTCGCGCCAGAGGCGGCAGTGCAGCTCCGGTTCCTGCCAGTCCCCAGCCAGCCAGCCAGCCAGCGAGCGCGCGGCGCAGGGGCCGGGGCAGCGGGCGCGCTCCGCCGCGGGACCTGCCGACCGCCCGCCGCCCCTCGGCGCGCACCCGACCCTAACGTGGCCCCGCAGGGTCGCGCGGCCCGGTAGCCCTTCGAAAGTAGAAATCCCAACTTGGCGCGCGCACACACGCACACACACGCATGCACACTTCCCGCGGGCCCAACAACCCTCAGATTCACACTCAAGAACTTGCCTCACTCACACATGCACTCAAACCCTGTTTTACCCACACTGCCTTACGAGTTTGCTTCACGAAGACAAATCTTTCTGCCCCACTCGTGCACACAAACCTAATTGGCTCAGGTGTGTTAATCTGAAAGCCAAATTCTGATTTACAACAACACACATACACACAAACTCAGGTTTACCAGACTCACAATCCTAGACTTTGCTTACCCATAATCCCAGATTGGTCTCATTCCCATTTTAGAACTGTCTCACAACTGTCCCCGGTTCTGGAATCTGCCTCACAAACCTGCACCCTCAAAGAAGGACCTCCTGAATTGGTTGAGAGAGAGACCCTCTTACTTTGCCGACAATCACAAAAGCCTGCAATTGACTCACAGACAAACCTACACTAAAACTATTCTTACCTCATATTTAGCACCCCAGATTGTGCTTTTTACCAACCCATAATTGACCTCACAATTACTTTACAGGTCACGGACATGCACACATCCCTAGACTGTGCCTTGTAAAATACTTCCAATACCCCGGCCTACGACAAACCCGAAGCTAACCCCTCACACACTGACTCAAGCTCAGGTTTACCTCAGTCAGAACCCTCCACGTGGGCTCACACATATATTAAGATGAACCGCAAAACGGGCGCCTGGGTGGCTCAGTTAGTTAAGCGACTGCCTTCGTCTCAGGTCATGACCCTGGAGTCCCGGGATCAAGTCCAGCATCCGGCTTCCCGCTCAGCGGGGAGTCTGCTTTCTCCCTCTGACCCTCTTCCCTCTCATGCTCGCTATCTCATTCTCTCTCTTTCAAATGAATAAATAAAATCTTAAAAAAAAAAAAAAGGTTAACCGCAAAAAAACACAACCAAAGACTGCCTTCCGTGCAACCTCAGCTCCACACAGATTTCACTTCTGCACGCGCCCGCTCTCACAGCCTGGTTCGCCTCCCCGCGTCCACCCACATATACTCTAACCCAGACTTTGCCAATGAACAGAGTGGGCAAAAGGCAGAGCTTGCCTCGCCTCGGCGCACCCAGCCTAAATCCAGAACCTGCAGTGCCCACATTAGACGAGGCCCCCTTTCAGAAATTCGCTCACTCCTTAATTGATTCATCCAACCAGAACCGAATGCCTTCCATGCCTCTTCACAAGATACTGGAGCAATGGCCTTAAAACAAGGCAGATGGGGGCCCGCCCTCAGCAAGAGTGTAGTCTGCCGCCATCCACCTAGGGAGCACAAGCATTCACTATTCCGCGTGACACGCTGTAATTTCCTTTGTGAACCTCCCCACTGCATCATAAGCTTCAGGAGGTCAGAGATCTGGTCTATTTAGTTTAGTAGTAGCATCCCCAGGCACAGAAGAGGAACTCGATAAATCCTTTTTGAATAAATGGGTAATGCTAAGAATAATAACAACAACAACAGGGAACATTTATGGAGCTGTTGCTGTGTGTCAGTCACTACTGTAACTGTGTCACATACAGTAACTCGATGCTCGGAAGCATATGGCTGGCGTCTTTGTGCACACACCATCTTTGAAGGCATGTGCAATGAATTTGATCAACCGAAACTTGCAAGTCCAGTTTTGGAGAGTAACTAGGATGTTGGAAAATGGATTCGATAGCAGCATTGTGACAGTCACAAAAGCTTGGGGGATGGAAGTTGACATGAACTCAGATCAAGACAAGCATGTTGATGCAAGTTGTACTTGCCCCCCATCCCCATGAGGCAAAAGATGCTTACTGAACTGCCCCTGCTCTATCAGAGTATTCATGATTTCTTAAGCAGACTTCCTCTGGGACACTGTTTTTTTTTTAACAAATGCTGGTTGCCAACAGACCCAGAAGTTCAAGTGAGAAATCGGTAAGATAAACTGTTCCCGCCCTCTTTGCTCACACAGTGGATTTCCTTCCTCTTTCCCATTGCTCTCAAACTCTTCTCCATTCATTAATTTATATACAGACTTTTAGGGGGACATTTGGTATGTGTCCAGCACTGTCCTGGGCTCCCTCCTCTGTGGAACATAAATCTAATGGGAGGAAAGAGATGATAAATAAAAACAATCAGATTAGATAGTCTTAAGAGTTGTAAAGAAAGCAAGATTCCCAACTTTTAGATGAGTTGGTCACTCGAGTCTTCCCCCTCTGACTCTATAAACACCACGGGCACCAGCACCGTGGGTGCTGCAAGGGCAACAATAAATAAAGATATTAGCTAACACTTATTAGGAATTTATTCTGTGCCAGGCTCAATGCTAAGGACTCTTCATACACTATCTTGATTAATTTTTATTAGTAATACCCTAATTAACAATACAAGTCACACACTATTATTTCTTCTCTTTTCTTTTCTTTTCTTTTTTTTTTATTTGACAGAGACAGAGACAGCGAGAGCAGGAACACAAGCAGGGGGAGTGGGAGAGGGAGAGCAGGCTTCCCGCCGAGGAGGGAGCCCAATGCGGGGCTCGATCCCAGGACCCTGGGACCATGACCTGAGCCGACGGCAGACGCCCAACGACTGAGCCACCCAGGCGCCCTATTATTTCTTTTTTACTAGCAAGAAGGCTGAGGCTCTGAGTAAATGCCCAGGCTGTGACAGAACCATAACTAGAAGCAAGATATGGGCAAAGAGTATGAGGTTTCCTTTGAGAGGGGAACATTCTGAATGTAGATGCGTGCTTGCATGGGCTCATGTGTGTGGGCACTTGGGCGTAGATAAATCCCATTGTTGTAGCAACATTGCCTCACCACTATGTCTGTTGCAATGGATAAGCTCCATGATTACATTTGTTGACAAAACATCGCATCTAAAAGTCAACAGCTGCATATACACATGCGTATTTAATTAAGAAAGCAAAGCAGCCTTTAGAAGTAGGCTAAAATGGGAATGGCTGATCTGACTCCAATTCTGCAACTACGTGGCCTTAGGCCAAGGGTTTTAGTTAACTTCTTGATGTCTTTCTGCTTTCTATTTGCCTCACCCACCTAACAGGATTAGAAGGATTTCATTCCTTGAGTAAGACATTGTATGAAGAACTTCACATGCGTTGCCCTAACCTTCACCACAACCCCGTAAATGTGGTGTGATTACTATCCTCACGTTACCAGGGGAGAAAACACAGCCTGGACAAGTTAAGTTTCCGGCCTAAAGTATCACACTAGCACTTCAGGCTAGAATTCAAACCCTACTAGCTAGTCCAGAGCCTGTGCTCCTAAAAACCACCCCAAGACAGAGTTCTGTTATAAGAATTCAGAGAAATGATAATGGGAAGACAGACCAGAAGTAAGGTGTTAACAAATCGAAAAATTCTAAGTGCCCCACTTGTTTTGGGGCAAAGGTAAACTTTAAGGCAAATACTCACAGAAATATCCTACCAATATCCTCCTAACAAAAGCATTAGTCTCATGAACACACGCCAATTTTACATCTGTCCCTAGTAAGGTAGAGGATACATCACTTACGACAATCACAAACATAAGGGCGGCATCATGCCTTTGGTCACCTTAAGTCACAATTCCCAGGGAAGGGCTTATCTAAAACAATGAGCAAACAGCAAGCCATTTCTATCACGCGGGCAGCAAAATAGAGCTTTCAACTGGTCACACACCAGGTCAAATTTGCATTTCCTGTAACTCTGCAGTAAATGACTTGCCACTTTGCATTGACATGACTTGTTATGTGAGCCTATGGCATATCCCATTATAACTTTAGGGAAATGTATTCCAGAGGCATCTTCTATTACCTATAGGTCAGTGGAAGGCAGAATCTCCTCTACAGTAAGCAATGCATGCATGAGCAATCCTGATATGGCAGCACACATTATATCTTTTATGCAAAATAAATTGCACTGAATTCTTATAAAGCAAAAATCTACCCAACAGAAGATACAATTTTAATCCTCACTAAGGTTGTGCCTCCATACTCAAAATAAGGAGAGAATAGAAGAGTTATGCTCTTTTCCTTGATTCACAGTGAATTTAAATATTTCTGATCAAAATCCACCCTGTCTTTTCCATCCTTGAATTGCAGGAACTTGAACCTAGGTTATTTCTGTCCCACTTTATGGGTACAGAGATTGGAGATGTCATTTTTCACCCTACAGATGTCATATATGTGTTAGGCATTCTCTGCAAAATATTCAGTACTCTGCCTGACACAGAGTAGATGCTCAATAAATTTTATTTATTTATTTTTTAAAAAGATTTTATTTATTTATTCATGAGAGACAGAGAGAGAGAGAGAGAGAGAGAGAGGAAGAGGGAGAAGCAGGCTCCCAAGGAGCAGGGAGCCCAATGTGGGACTCGATCCCAGGACCAACCCTGGGATCATGACCTGAGCTGAAGGCAGACGCTTAACCATCTGAGCCACCCAGGCGCCCTGATGCTCAATAAATTTTAGTCCCCCATTTCCTCAGATATATTTAGCTACATCATTAATATCACAGTTTATAATAATGAGCTTGACCTTGTCCTGTAACTTTAGCTTTGCAGGGTTTTATGGAACAAATTGAAATTATGATAATATTTGGTATGCATGTTAAAAAGTCACCACTATTTTCAATATGCCTCCATCACACCTTAGGAATTCTGACAGGCTACTAGTGAATTTCAGCTCAATATTTGGTGACCAAAGTGTTCATTAGAAACCAAAACACAGGTCATTTCTCAAACCTATACACAATGTTAAAAACTAGTTTGTTAACATATTTTTAATAATCTTAGTTGTGCAT